AGGGGATGGGTCTGGGTTTGAGGCATTGATTCCTCCTGTCCTCCCACCGCCAGCTCAGCTATGGATGCTGCCCCTTCAGCCCTCACTGGGCAGGCTTGGAAACTCTGGGTTGTTGTTGAGTTGTGTTTTTTTCCCATTTAATGCATAGAATAACACTGATGGGTCTGAACAGCTCCAGCCAGGCGACGAGGGGAAAGAATAACAAGCTCCTGAATGTCAGGCAAAATTATGGGCCATTGCTATTTAGGGTGAGTCTGGTGGATTTAGGGCCTCTCTGTTCTATTGTCCCAGCTGCTCTGAGCATTGGAGCAGGCGAGACACAAGTCGGGAATTTTATTGCAGAGCATGTGCAGGGGAAGGCTGGTTCTGAGCGTTTCCGGAGTGGGGCAGTGGTGGGGGAGAGGGGACAGTGTCTGTTGGGAAGTTGGTGAGATGTGATACTGAGGGGAGGTGGGAGGCTGGAAGTCCTGGGGAGGTGGTCATCCAGCAGAGAAGAGAGCTCCTTTGCTTCCTGTGTTTTGTCAGGGTTCAGTTTCTGGCGTTGCTCACACTCCCCAATTCCGTGTGGGGTTGGTCTCCACCCGTCAGACCTGGACTGACTGTCCGTCTGCCCTGTCCCTTGGCAGACTGTGCTGGTTCCCCCTGCATCTCACAAGCTGCTCAGCCCCTTGTCTTCTCCTGTGAAGCACTCAGGGTTGTAGTTTGTATGAAAGACAGAGCCTAAATGTGTGTGTGGAATGGGGATTAGGGGTGTCGGTGCCGTCGCTTGGCTGGCTTTTGGCTGGTGCTGGTGATGTAACCAGAGCTGGCACTGTGTGTGCACAGCCTGCCAGGTGTCAGGGGGAAGGACCCGGCTGAACAGCCCAGGAGAGCACAGAGAGGGTGAAGAAGATGTTACACAGTGAGATAGGAGTGGGTCATCCATGGGAAAGTGAAGTCTGCACGCGTCCTGAACAGGGTGTATCCTGAGCTTCCAGAGTTTGGCAAATACATTCTGTCCCATGCCAGGGTGGGGAGGAGTGGCAGAGAGCAAGAAAACCATTCTTCCTGTCTGTCTGCACAGGCGGGAGGCTCGGCAGGGTGAATTCTTTTCTTCTTTGGGGCTCTTTTTATTTGACCGGATTAAAAAGCCTATTTGAGTTTCTTAAACCATTTAATCTAAAATCCCCAGGTAGATGCGCCATTGGATTCAGTTTTAAGCTTATAAACAAAATAGGTCTGTGTTTGTCTCTTCTTCATTTTGTTCTGAAGAAGCAAGGGTTTGACCTGCCCTCCCTGGAGCCAGGGGGAGTGTTGGGCTGCTGGTGCTTAGGAATCCCCTTGAGCTTCCTGCAGGATGGGAAGGTGTGGGGCCTGGGGTGCTGGTGTGACCCTCCTGCAGCTCCAGGTCAGGGGGGTGTGTGTGGCCTGGGCAGGTGATGGGAGGAGGGAGCAGGGGCCAAGCTCCACTGGCTGGTTCCCAGGACTCAGTGCCCACACGGAGTGCTGAGCACGGGTAAAATCCCATTAGGACCATTGCTCTGCAGTTGGTGTGGAGAGATGGGAAAGGAGAAGACAACAGGAAATGGGAGAAAATGGGAGGAAAGCATGGAATGGTTTGGGTAATTCTTTCCAGTTCCCACTATCCTTTGAGAGGAGCTAGTCTTCCTTCTCTGCTCCCAGCATACCCAGTTCCTTCCAGGGTTTCCTCCTGTGTCCATCCTCTCCACCCACTCCTTGTTCTTCTCCTCTACGGTGCTGTGTGGCTTATTGCTGCCACTCCCTGTGCTACAGAGGAGATTTCATGGGCATGAGACCAGTTTGGACTGCTCTCAGAGCAGCCCAAAATGGGACAGTTCAGGATTTGTGTTCGCAGGAGAGAGGTGATGATGGTGCCCATGGGGGCTGCAGGAATGTCGCAGCTCCGTGGCCCACAGTGCCATGTCTCTGCCAGCAGCTGGTGCCAGATGCTCCCAAGGAAGGTACCAAACCCACAGCAGGCAGATGTAAGATGATCTGCCCCCGTGTCCCCTTGATGTCCTTTCCATGTGTCCACAGGGATCATCTCAAGTCAGTGGTGCCTGTGTGGGATGACAGTGCTCAGACCAACCTTAGCAGAAGTGTCCCTTCCAGATCCCATCCCCAGTGCTGGGAGCACAGCAGTGAGGCCGGGCCACCCAGCTCCCTCGTGCAGCCATGGAAAAACTCCTTCCAGCCCGGCTGTAGGAAGGCCGGGAGGGCAGGCTGAGCTCACCTCTTGTGAGCAGAGAGGCCTCCTGTGCCCAGAGCTCTCAAGGAGATGCTTTATGAAAGGGGTGGTGGGAACAAGACTGTCTCCTCCCCCCCTTCCTTCTCCTGAGGAACTGGAGACAGACAGAGGGACAGGCATCTGTCCGATGGCAGCTTGGATAGGAGGGAGCCCTGTTGGCTTTGCCGAGGGAACCTCTTTCTATATGGAAATGAAGAATTTAGGCTAATGGAGCTCAACCATCTCTAATTTTGCGATGGCAGGAGGATTTTGATTGAAAGTAATTAAGCAAGCTAGCTGTAAAATTAATTAAAGCAAAAGGGGGGGATTTTTTTATTGGATTGGATAGCGATATAGCGGCTGTCAAATGGGGGACGGATGGGGGTGACCTGAATTCTCTGCCCTCCCTCCTCCCACTCGGGACGTTTATGTCACTTTAATCTCCTTACAGCGGCTGGTGTGCATTTGTTTGAAATAATCAAGGAAATATGGTCAGAAATTGTCAGCTTTCAGATCTAATTTACCTGACAGCCCTGCGCGGACCAGTAAGCCTCTGTGTGCGTGTGCGAGAGCGTGTGTGTGTGGTGCATGCGACTGTGTGGTCATGGAGGGCTCCTTGTCTCCCTTCTCCCCTGTTTCTGTTCATTCTGTCTTCTCTTGATTCCTACCAAAAATACTTCTGGCACAGCTGGGACCACCCAGCACCTTGCAAGAAAAAGAAATAAGTTTGACGATTTTCCTGCGGTCGCTTCTCCACCCCCACCTTCCCATCACTGCCTCCTCCCAACCTGCTGCCTCATCCTTGCACCATAACCAGCTTTAGGGTTTAGGCAATATAGGATTAGGGGAGGTGGCTGTAATTCTTTATTCCAGATGGCTGGCAACTGCTAAACCCACTGTCACAAGCACCGAGTTATAAAAATACTTAAATTAGGCCCTTTGTTTCAGCCCCTGTCCCTGCCAGGCAGCTCTCCTGGTGTCCTGCCGGGAGCTCAGCTTGCACAGAACAGGTGGGGGACTCTGAGTCCAGACTGTAATGATGCTGGGGAGAGGCTTCTCCGGACTCACACCTATCTGGATTCCCTTGCTCAGCTCCATCTGCTTCTTTTTGCCTTTGGCTCTTAAAGAGAGATCCTGCAGTAGGAACGAGCTGGGCATGAGTTGGTGTCTGTGAGCACTCACTTAGCAGGTGAAGGTCCCAATCCAGGGACATACAAAGGCTGCAGCTCCTACACATCTTACTGATGGAGGGGGAGTGCATACTCCTGACGGAGATCCCAGGTTTCCCCTCTGGACCAGACCCTGCAAGAACCCAGCAACCTGAACTGGAAATTGGGGAGTGAGGGTAACTACCGTAGGGACAGTGTTTCCTCGGAGTGATGCCTCACATCTGTCTTGCTAGGTTGGCTCTTAGGGTTATTATTTATTATTTATTATTGTTCATTAAGCGCTGACAGAGTTGGGGCTTTTGTTTGTTTTGTTTGGGTCTCCATTTAGAGGCCTTTGCTGAGGCAGACTCCGGTGCCAAGACCTCCGGCGCTTTTACAATTACAGCCCGTGATCCTATTGTATTGTTTATGTAATGACTCTCAGTCCCGAGGGATTCTGCAGCCTTTCTTAGACCAGAGCACCCAGCACCTGGCAGGGAGAGTGCAGAGCAAGTGCTGGCCCTCGGTGCCAAGGAAAATCTCTGGGTTTTACATCCCAGGGGATCATTAATACATGGACGGGTCAGGCTGGACCTGCTGCAAGGATCCACATGGGGGGAAGTTGATTAAGCTGCTTCAGAAGGAGCAGATGATTCATCTCTGCCTGGTCTGTGTGGTCATGGGGAGGTCTCATGGTGGCTCAGACCTGATGCTCTGGCTGTTGGGTGTCTGCAGCCCACTGGTCTGTCTCAATACAGTGACTGGTCTTTGCGGGTCTGATGATGTGACCAGTCCCTGAGTGTCCCAGAGCACCCCAAACCACCTCAGAACGGGGACTGAGACTTTCACCCTGTTAAGTAGATGTGTGGAGGGCTCCTCCCCAGCTCTGCAACCTGCAGGACATGGGTGGGACCAGCCATGGCCAGCGAGGGGGCTGTGCTGAGGTGGGTGATGAGCTCATCACCGTGATTCCCGGGTTTAATTCCAGCTTTACCACTGATTTGCTTTGTATCTGTAGCCCTGTGAGTGCACAGCTTTGTGCCAGTGCTTCCTCATCAGTATAATGGGTATAATTAGGCTTCCCTGATTGAAGATGGCGCCGAACACTGAGTGTGCTGGCAGATTGTTTTCTTTTGTTTAAAAGTATTTTCCAAAAAAAAAGAGGTAAGACCCAATTTTAGAGTGCTGGTTCCCATATACTATTTCAAACATTTGTGGGTTAAACTCTGACAATATCAAACCCTTTCCTTCTGGGACAGGTCAGCTCTGAAGAGTTGGCTTGCCCTAAACCTAACAGAACAGAGTTAGGTGAAGACTAAGTGCTTCTAAGCAGTCTCCTCTGTATTCAGCAAGATACAGGATGTGGCACTGCTGATCTTCTGTGTTAATTACAAATACAACAGAATGTAACATCAAGAATAGTCTAAATAATTTCATGGCCTGTTAACCAAGAGAGTTTGAGTTCTGGGACGTGGACCAGGCTACCAGTGATAATGGTATCTGAAGTCAGTGGTGTCTGGAAGAAGGTTCATACTGTGCTGGCTGCTCCGATTTCCTTCTGTAGATTGCAAGACCAGATGATTAACAGTGCATTAGATAATTTTCTAACATAACATTCCCTACAGGCAGTTACTGGCATTGCTGTAGAGACATCCTGAACGACGTGTTGGAAAAGGAAGTGCACAGGACAGTCTTTCTGCATTGTGAACATGTGTGAGACCCCCATGCAAAGCTGTGCTCTGTTCTGACTCCAAGTCTCCTCAGACATGGCCGAGGAAAATGCACGTGAGTGCTGACCTGGGGGCACCTTCTGTTGTTCTATTTGCACCTGCTTGTACCTGTTCAACACTTCTCCCCTCTCAAGCACTGCCACTCTCGCTGCAAATGAGTCTGGAGACCCTGACTCCAGCACAGCCAGGAGCTGGGAAACATCCCATAGTTGGGTGAATGGGATGAAAAGTTCAGATTTGGGTGGCGTGTCTTTTTCTCTCAGCTTGGTGTGAGTGGCAGTGGAAAGGCATAAGCTCCCTTCTCCTGTCACTGATGTGTCAGCTCTAAAATCATTCTTCTGAGCTGAGCAGTGACATGAGTGTGGGAGCATCAGAGAGGGATCGAGCCCAGAGGGTCGGGAAGGGGAGAGCTGAGGCACTGGGCTGAGTGTCTGAGGTACTGGACACGTTGATTTTGCTTGCTTGTGCTCAGGACTGGAGATGAGCTGTCCATCCTCAGTCTGTGGGGCAAGAGAGTCCTTCAGGAAGCAGACTGGCAGCTCAGCTCACATCAGCTCAGAGAAGCCTTGGGAATGTGCAGGGAGACCTCAGAAGTGAGTCAGGCAGACAGACACCTGTACCTGCCTTTCCTGGGGAGGCCTTTCAGTCTGTGAGCTCTCACACAGCATCTTGCTCCAGTGCTGAATCCTGGCTGCTGTCCCTGTGCATCCAGCTGGCTTGGGGCAGGAAAGGGGAGAAAAAGCCAGAGCCAGTGGCTCAGCTGATTGGGGGTTTCAGGCAGAGGTTGCCCTGCCTGACTTGCAATGGATTCAGGGGCTTTCTGTCTCCAGGGCAAGTCTGAACCAGCCAGTTCCACTTAATTTCCCGTGGAGGCAGAAAAGCCACCAAGAAAATAAAAATGTTGCAATACAAGGTTTGGGGATAAAAGGACATAGTGTAGCTGGCCAAACAAGGCAGTGGGTGATGACATATCTGCCATCCCATTTACCTCCCTGGCAGTGGGACCCAGGGACCTCATGAGAATTCAGGAAGGCTTTTGTGAAGATATCCTGAGCAGGGAAGGGGAGTGTTGAGTGGGGCAAGGCAGTGAGGGGGGCATGGAGAGCCATGTGTCACACTAGCAGCTCGGCTGCTGGGGCCCACTTAAAACAAAGGTGTAAAGGAAAAGGGCATCCATGTGTCTTCAACTCAGCCTTTCCCCCCTTTTTTTCATCCTATGTCCTCCCTGGAGCTCCATGCAAGTTTATAAATTTATACCTGAATGCAGTAAAATCACCAAGGTTGACAGGGTCTTGGTTTCATTAATTCTGAACCCTGACATGCCACCCTGGCAGGGCTGTCATGGCTAGTGCAGGCTTCCTCATGGCTTATTAAACCAGCACCTTGGAAGCCTGGCCTGAATTCATGGAATCATGGAATCGGTTAGGTTGGAAAAGACCTTTAAGGTCATTAAATCCAACCATTAACCTGGCACTGCCAAGCCCACCCTGAAATGGGGGTTAACCTCCAGGAGGTGTGAGGAGGCACCCAGTGTCCTCACTTGGGTGACCTGTACTGGTGTGATCCTGGGACTTCTGGGGACATCTCCTGAGGTTTCCTCCTCCTGCAGCCCAGGAGGGAAGGGAGGCTGTGGGCTGGCTGGGAGCAGCTGGTGCTGGACGGTCTCCTCTGGGCAGTGGGGCAGCCCCAGCCCGGGTGGGAGCCACTGCTCCCCAGACAGACCAGGGTGCAAAGTCCTAGGCTTGGGAGAGGGCTTTGTGGGAGAGGCTGAAGGCAGCACTCCCTGAGTTCCCTCTGCACAGGAGATACACCCTCACGGAGCTGTCTTTTTATTTGCAAACTGAGCAGTTGTACTGGAAGAGATTTAGCAAACATGGGACTGCACAATGCTGTGTGTACTGAGTCACACATCAGGGCTAGAGCCAACTAGCACTGTGAGCTACTGAGGCAAACATTGGAGAATAGTTACAATAGGCACCAAAAATATCTTCAAATGAGATCTTTCTGCATTGCTGCATGTTGGGTAACAGGGAGGGCTGACAGCCCAAGCTTAAACTCTACCCACATGCTCTAGAGCTCATCCTGGGCAAGGCAGGCAACTGGGATGGGAACAAAGCAGAGGAAAAGCAGGTTTGCTCCTGTAAAGGGAGCCCTGATTAGCCAACCTCACATAGGTTGGGAAAGTCCTGGCTCTGGCAAAGCTCTAGGGATTGACCCTGTGGTCCTGGCTCTGGCTGCATTTCAGGAGGGAGTGACTCCAGAGCTAGTAACATACTGCGGGATCTGCAGCTCACACCTGCACAGGCACAGGGCAGGATTGGTCCTTACGAGACGTCTTCTGTTTGATTTTAAGGCTCCCAAGTAAGGGAGCTGCTCTTGGGGTCTCTTTGGAAGGTCTGTCTCTTGCAAGATTTTCTCATGGGTTTGCTCTGTGGTTGCTCTTTCCTCTCTACCAGTCTTACAAAGTAGAGGAGCCACTGCCCCAAAGCCCGGCTCTGGTTTCAGAGACACAATTCCCCAAACTCAGATTCTGGGGGTTTGTCCAGGCCATCTCAGCAGAATGGGAGAAGACACTGAGTGCAGGGCAGGTAGTGAGCACCAAATCCGACTCAGCCTCCTGCCAGGTGACCCTTCAGCATCCTTGCCCCAGTCCCCAAACCCTTCCCTCGGATCCTGCTGCTCTCCACACCCTCGTGCTGGGCTGGGATCACACCTCAGCCTCTCCACATCCCCTTCCTGCCTTCCTGCTCACCATCTCTCCCACTGGTTTTGCAGCCGTTTTTTTCTGCCAGCGCAGGGCACTGAAAAGTGCTGGCACTGCCAAAAACCCTGTGTGCACTACGACTCCCCAAACATCCCTTTATTTTTATTGTTCTGTTAATTACTGTTTAAACTTTAATAAGTCACTTCGTCAGGAGGGGGGACCTGCAGTGAGGTTTCTGTGCAAACACTGGGCCCGGCAGTGACTCTAGTGTAACATAACCCTTTATACAATGTGGGAATGTTTAGACTGTAACAGAAACTTGTTATTTTAATGACAGTTAAAGGGGGGAAAAGAAAGAAAGGAGCGAATGAAAAAGGGAAGCAAGTTTGTTGGGGAAATGGCTCATCTCAATCTCTCTGTCTGGCCTCTTTTCTCTGGGCTTTAATGATAGCTGGATAAGGAGGCTTTATGGCTTCTGTTGAAGCAAGTCTTGTTCCCAGAGATGCCCTATACGAGGCAGTGTGTGATCCCCTCAGTTGTGCGGGGTGAGGCCCACAGCAGAGAGATGCTGATGGAAGCAGCATGGCTTGATTTTGCTCAGAGGCAGCAGCAGATGCCTAAAGCCAATTTGAGCTCAGTCTAATTATTCTGACCCACACAAGAGACTTTCCCCTTCTATCCGGAGCTTATTCCACTGGTTAAGTTTTTAAGTAGCTGCGCTGAAACAGATGCTGGCATGTCAGAGATAAGAGGGTCCAACATCCCATGGAAAAATGGACCCTGAAGCAAGAAAATGATGCCTTATTTTGAGTCCTGAAAAGGAGGAACTATGGAGACCTGAGGGAGATGAGGGGAAAGAACCTGGCTCACCCTCTTGGCAGTGGGAGAACAGAGGGTTTACAGGCATCCTTGGCTTTGGACTGTGACTGTTGACATCTGTATTGCTCTGAGGTAGTGGAGGTGCCTGTGCAGTGGCTGCTGTCCCTGCATCACAGCACTGAAGTCACCTCCAGGTTTGGCTTGGCTATATTTAGCGCTCGCTATAGACAAGACCATATAGAGTGATATATATGATCTGAAAACCTTCAACTCCTGCTGACCTCTGCTGCTGCAGTGAAATCCCCCAAATCTGTGCAGTCTGTGCGGGGAGTGACGCAAGACCAGGAGAAGGGAGAGCTCCCGTGTTTTCCCGGGCAGGTTCCATGTTCCCCCTCCCCAGGTTGGTCACCAGTCCCTGGCAGTGCTGGTCCCCTGGGCAGTCCAGCTTTTTCTGCCAGACCTGGCTGTCAGGCCCACAGGGAATGAGGGGAGAGAGGTGTAAAGAGGGTGTGGGCTCGGGCACCAGAGCTTTGGGGAGGAGGAAGTTGGGAACTTGAGGAAAGAAGAGGGAAGGGGAAGATCAACCTAAGGCTGAGGCTGGCAACTGGGAAGTGAAGGGGGCACAAAGGGCAAAATTTTGGAGGGAAGGGGAGGTTAGGAGGGGGTGGGGTGTAAGGAGCACTTTGCTGGAAAAAAAGTGCCTGCTTCCTCAGGCACCAGCTGTGAGTCCAGTTCCTCTGTGCAGGGACCCTCTCCCCTCTTTGCTGAGTTCCTGACCAGAACAGGAGCCTGCGGACTTACACTCCAGGCTTTTTGGTGAGGGCAAATGTAGGGTGGAGAGGGAGGGGATGAAATCCTGGGCCTCTGGGAGTGTGTTTTCCCAAGTGGGTGAACATGCAGGGAGCAGGCCAAAACGGTTCACGCTTTCCTCGCCCGCTGCCGGGGTTGTGATTGTTATTGATTGGGTTTGCTGTTCTCGGCACTTTGTGTTTTTCCAGCTGAGCATTGGCTGCCCCTTGAATTTCATTTTATTTTTTATTATTTTTTTTACCTCTGGTTTAGTTCCTATACCCTCAACCATGGCAGGTGGGGCAGGTGTGTGCCCAGCCCCTGTGCCAGCCAGCACTGTGGGGCTGGGCTGGGTCTGCACCGGGGCTGGGAGAGTGCAGGGGTCTGTGTAAGGTACCAGTAATGGGCAAACCTGCTGTCAGTAGGATTAAATTCATAAGTCTGTGTTATCTCTGAGTGTGTGTCGTACAAAAAGGTAAAGAAATCTGCTCTTGTAGAAAAAGCAGTGTCAGGGCTTGATGTTGGAGCAAATAATAGGAACATGCACAGGGATTTCCATGCTTGGGCATGGGTAATGCATAGCTGACTTGAGGTGCATAAGCTTCAACCCCAAAGCCAAGGGAATTCCTAGCTGGAGAAATAGTTTTCATTTCCAACATCTGGTCACGTCTTTCAGACCCCACCAAGCCCCTCATGCTGGGCTGCTCTCCCTCCAGCCGTGCGCTCGTGTCCGTCCTCCGCAG